TTGTTTCATGCTCGTAATACTTCTAAAGCGGTATATTGTCGACCATCATATGATTTGATTGACGATGGTTATATCGTGGTGTTACTGAAAATTATTGTTAGTTAAGATCATGGTTTCGATCGAATTATATAATACTCTTCCATATTTGACATTCTCGGAAAGAGTCTGCCCAGCTCCTTAGTGATCTTTCTTAATTACTGTTTGTCTCCTTTCTATTATTCTTACCATTTGTTTCGCTTTCACAACGCATTTTTTGTCACAAAGGGACCCCTTGCTGTACACATACTGCGAAGACCGACAAGAAATTGTGGTGTAGAGTGAATCTGGAAGATTACCCTCGGTAAATTGGTGACATTTCGAAGCTTTTTACGTGAATTATATTTCATCCTCTTCCGCTTGCTTTTATCATCTTTGCTTGCTGGTAGATTTAGATTTGCCACCATGTGGCATTGTTTTACGCTGGCGTTCATAACACTATTTGAGATGAGTTGCATGCGAAATTTTCCTCGATTCCTCTCGTTTCACTATTCAGACATTTTTTTAAAATTTCCAGAATGTTCTGAGTTTATTGCACGGTCATGGTCGTTTGTAGGGTTCTCGTTATTGAAAGCACCGTCCATCCAAGTTCTCGACTTCCATGTCTTTGTCGCTTCCGAAGCCCCTGATTGAAGTCGAGAATCCCAAAAACCCCTATTTTGGAGAAAGAGAGACGGGTGGAAATGCAGTTTGCAGGGCTGCGGCGCTGTTATCGCCCGGCGTATATCAGCGCCGCAGCCTATAAAGCTGCAAAATGGGCGGAGTGACCAGCTCTGGATCACATATCACGTACTATTCAGAGCGGATTTCTCGCTCCGGAAGCAATCTTTTGCGGGGAAACTTGGGGGTTGGCCTAGTGTGGGGGCCCACATTAGTATGCCATTGAATCTCGTGAACCCTCACTTTGGGTGGACAGTGCCTTTAAATTAGCTACAGCCTGATTTAAGATCTTTAAGCCCGTCGTGTATGACTTCTTACCTCTAGTTGCTATACCAAACATTTCTCGTAATTTCGACCCAACATGCTTCCTCAAGCAGCAAGACAAATGTTGTAGTTTTGAAAGTCGTGCAATTTTGAGATCTATCTCAAAATCGTTCATGTTAAAGATAGACAAACGCTCTAACAGTATCCGGTGCAGAATTTCTTGCTATTTTCAGCAGTGGTGCTTTATTTTTGTGCTGACTACTGCTTGAATAATCGTCAGAACTCCAATCCATAATTTTTAACTGCCTTTGTTTTAGTTTCTTGAAATTTTCATTTCAAACTTTTCAAAAAGCTTTAATCGCTGTAAGATGAAATAAACAAAATGCAAGATAGTCATTCTGATATTTGTAGCTGGATTTTCAGAATTTTTAAGATGATTTTTTTGATGCTTTCAAATTCATGTTTGATCTTCCCAAACCGCATAGAATGTCAAGCAACGGGCAACCAAAATGACATTTAATGCGAATTTTTCTTCTCTTTTTAGCATAAATATTCCCTGATTCGTAAATGATTCGAGGAGAAAACCGTAACCATCGTATTTCCAGTTTCTAAACGCTAAGCTGTCGCTCGAAATATTCAACATTGATTTTGAAGCGGTAAAGAAAAAAAAATTTGTCAAATAAAACTTTGATCATAACCGACCTTCAAAGTTTCAAATTCTAAAGTTTCATTCGTGTTTGAAGCGCTTGTGTACGTTACGACTTCGCAGAAGCGAATTTTGAAAAAAATTCTTATAAAAATACTTGCAAGTTAATAAATATGCTCAAAAAGTTTCAATTGCTAGCATTTCGCCTATGTATCCGACGGTGTTTGGAGTTCTTTCAAAAAAGAAAAAAGAAGAAAATTCGGTAGGATAGTGATGGAAAGCTATCGCATACTCTGTAATTCATTGACGTTTGGAATCAAGATTTACATCTATTTAAAAGTTCACAAATCAAGTTTCACCAACCTCCCTCCTACTTATGCTTGGACAAATCCTAACATTAGCATCTAATTCCTATTTTTGAGACTAGAACTGAAAAATCGAAAGCGACTAATTACACGAGTCGCCACTTTTTAAGATTTTCATGTTATGTTTTCTTTTTAACAAGCAAAGCACGTATATATAGTAAAAATGGGTTCTTTTCCGGGCGGCTTGGCGTTATACTACAAAGACCTAGCCGCCAAAGCTCGCCGCCATAGTCGGCACGCGCGCCGAGCTGCTCACTGTATCCCGCACCCATTTTGCACCGGTGAGCTTAAGCCATGAGGCAATCGCGCGAACGCAGCCTTGTCAGCTCTGTCGCGGTGCGACGTCTCGCGCGATGTCGCGAATTTTACAAGAAATTACATAAAAATACTCAGAAAAAATTTCTCTTTCAGATTTTGTCGTGCGATATCGTCCGCCGCGCCGCATGTGAAAATTTCAGAAAAACTTGTTAATCTCCTGTTTTTCATTGATTCATTTTCGTTTATATTTCCAAATAAAAAAAGATTCGATTGGAAACTCCCTAGTTCTTCAATTTTCTTTTTTTTGTTTCACGTTTGTTTTTGCCATGGTATAAATACAACATAATTCTCACTGCAAGCTGTGATCTGTGGCCTAGATTGCAAGTTGAGGTTAGTAATACGGCGATGATGACCTGCGCACTCAACTTATTAGGACAAAAGATACCTAGCTGATGCCAGATTTTCTTTCCTTGATTTTACTTGGAATTGAATATGAATCAAGTAGAAAACAGTAAATAAACAAGTTTTTCTTGAAGTTTTCACCTCATGCGGTGCGAAGAAGATATCGCACGTTAAAATCTGAAGGAAGAATTTTTTCTGCGTATTTTCATGTAACTTTTTGTAAAATTCGCGGCATCGCGGCGCGACGTCGCAACGCGACAAGGCTGACGAGGCTGCGTCCGCACGGTTGCCTCATGGCTCAGGCTCACCGGTGCAAAATGGGTACGGATACAGTAAGCCAGCTCGGCGCGCGTGCCGACTATGGCGACGAGCTTTGGCGGCGAGGTCTTTGTAGTATAACGCACGTCCTCCCTTTTCTGTTTTTTTCCGACCCACTTTTTTTTCATGATGTTCTCATGAAATACTTACTCTAGCCTAGAAATTTTTTCATAGATCCTATTAGAATAACTCCCTTCCACGTGCCAAGGTAAAAATTGACACCTTTATTCTCAGTTTGACATGTTTTTTCGAAATTATTTTCGTTGAGGTACCAGAGCATTGGGAATGATTTAAAAGATGTACAGCGGTTACTTATGAAAGCGGAACAATCGAAAAGGTATATTGAAACATCTTGGACGCATTCAGCAATGAATCAACAGTGTCTTCCTTTTTAAAATTTTCTTCCATGCGAATTCAGCCAGCAAAGAGTATAGATGATTGCTTGGAGCACTTAACTGTAGCTTGTTTCGCTGCCTCAGTGATGGAACAAACGCCCATCTTTCTATTCTAAGCAAGTCTAATGTGTTCGTTGAACATCGCTTGTTACGTTTATTCTTGGATAAAAATGGGGTTATTATTGATTGAATAGGGATTGAGTCATACCGGTAGGCAAGCTAAACAAACTTTTCGTACAACCTGAACAGGTAAATAACATGTCAACTTTTCTTGACACGTAGCAAGATGTAGATACTCTTTTCTGTGAAGTTATGTCCAATGGTACAAGAAAAAAGTTTTTGAAAAAATGGGTCCGAATAACAGGAAAGTACCTAAAAATGTTATAATCGTACTTTTCATGCAGTCTCCAACATCGCGTATGAAAAGAACACGAATTTGGCAGTCTATAGAAATTACAGCAAGTGCACAATTGCATTCCTATGGGTTATAGAACATGCATGACCAGATTTGAAGTTTGTAGAAATTCTCTGGGCTGAGTTCAGAGTTTTGAAGTACTACGACAAATGTCTTTGAATTTTGGTTTTAAATGTTTGTAGATCATGATTTATGCGAATGTTTGTGACTTCTTTGTAAAGCTAGCTTTGCTCTCGAGCGGTACCTTATTCCTTTTTGGTCCTCACCCTATCGCGGTAGCACGAAAAACGCTATTTGTTTTAACAAATCAAAAAACTTCACGTGCTGCACCGTCTTGCGTTATTAATGTCTGTCAAAATAAATGAATATGCTTTGTTGGCCCAAAAGAGTACACCGCGCACTTTTTACGAAAATATAAGAGACTAGCTGGCTTACCCGGCTCCGCCGTATCCGGACCAAACTTGGCACACATACACTTCCAGCCCCGCAGGTCAAACTTTACAAAAAAATCGATAAAATCGATAAAAGTAATGGACGATCTTGAAAACTAATATTGTATTCGTAATCTGCATGCTCGATTACCCCCCCCCCCCCTTGTGCAAACTCCCAGCCCCGCAGGTCAAACTTTACAAAAAATCGATAAAATCGATAAAAGTTTATCGATTTTATCGATTTTTTGTAAAGTTTGACCTGCGGGGCTGGGAGTTTGCACAAGGGGGGGGGGGGGTAATCGAGCATGCAGATTACGAATACAATATTAGTTTTCAAGATCGTCCATTACTTTTATCGATTTTATCGATTTTTTTGTAAAGTTTGACCTGCGGGGCTGGAAGTTTGCACAGGGGGGGGGGGGTAATCGAGCATGCAGATTACGAATACAATATTAGTTTTCAAGATCGTCCATTACTTTTATCGATTTTATCGATTTTTTGTAAAGTGAAGATCACCCCCCCCCCCCTTGGGGGTGATCTGCATGCTCGATTACCCCCCTGTGCCAACTCCCAGCCCCGTAGGTGAACTCAGCAAAAAAATCGATAAAAATCGATAAAATCAATATCGGTCGATGACGAAAAGTAGCCTATGACACCCGCCGGGGCCCGTAGTATATGTGTGCCAAGTTTGGTCCGGATCGGTTCAGAAATGGAATTTTCTATTCGGAACATACGTACATACAGACAGACAGACAGACAGACATACAGACAGACAGACAGACAAACAGACATTCAGCTTTATATATAAGGTCAATACCTGTGGCATCCTGCGTATCTGTTGAAGGGGTCGTTTTTGAAGTTGCACCATTGCTTAGCTCCATGAGGTGCCATGCACTCATCCTCGAGCGCGCATAAGACATACCTCAAGGAAATTATGCGTAGACGTTGATTAGCTGTTTAAAGGCACCATTTTAGCAGTTCGATGGCCTCGGCTGTTCTGACGATGAATGCGAAACCAGCGTTATAAACCATGGCTGACTTCTTCTTAATGGCATCGATATCCGTTGGAATATACTTGTACATCCCTAAATGTGCACAATCTCTTGTTTCATTCAAACGCGTAACCGCACGAAATCGCCCATATCGCTGTAAGCTGAATGAGCCTCGAGCGTGCCTGCAAGGCGGCTGCCGAGTACGGGTGCTGTGGTGATTTATGCTCTCGGCCAATGTTAGCACGCAAGAGAACCGCTTGCGGGCGTTCAGCCTGAGCGATTCCCTGCAATCAACTATATCCGTCTTTTCACAACAGATTCAAAAGTTGCCTTCATAACTCAACGTTTTCAGTACATAGACTGAAAAATTTCGCTGTGTAAATGCCTTCTGAAATTGCAATGTAAGAGTAACTTGGCCTTGCACTCAAATGTTGATTCAAACGGCATGTGCAAATATCATAGAAGAAAGGGAAACTATTAACCTAATAAAAGAACTTCTTGACATAATGTCATGATCTGTTATTTCTGGCTTATTTCCATTTAATGAAGCCAATGGTTTTCGCACGCTAGAAGAATAGATGAGATAGCAAATGAAAAGAGACGAATGTTTTTTAGAGACAGTGGCACAGAAGATTTGCGAGTCCGGTTTTGCGAAATATACTCTCATCTTCTAGACGCACCGAGTCCAAGAATTTGCGTAAAACCTTCTAAAAAGGAGACCCAAAATCTATCGCTTCAGCAAGGGGCTGTGGGAGCCGATCAGCCAAGACCGCTAAAAGTGATGTCATAACTCACTACTCTGGGAGCAGTTGCTCTCAAAGCGCTCAGGTGCTAATAGGAATCGCTGAGTTTGAAAGGCAAAGAGCGTCTTTGTGAATTGAGGAGTATAGTCCTGTACTAACAACTTCAAAAGGTTCAATAATTTTAGAAACCTGAAAGAGTGAATCTGGCCGGACACAGCATTCAATCTTAACGGGTGTAAACGAAAGATGCAGTGACTTCAGAATATGAAAATGCACTGCAAACGCTTGCTGGAATCTACACTGACCGCCAAAAAGTTGCGGACAAGCCTCCCTCCCTTTTTCATCGCTCTTTTTCGGAAGGAAAACAAGGATAAAAAAATGTAGTGATTGTCTACAATCTACACTTTGGGTTTTTGGAAAACATGTATTCTAAAATTTTTAAAAAACTTTTTCTAAAAAAAAGCCCGAAAATGGCCGCGTCACAATGTCGCGGACAATAATTCTTCGAACGCAAAAATTTTCTTTTGAGTCCTATTCTGAAGCTGAAACACAAGTAATTTAAACGGGTAAACATGCTACTATAAGCTTGTCAAGAACTACACACTGGTTATGTTCCTTCCCAAAAAACACAAGCTTGAGTTTTGTTTTCCTTTTTTTTCAAAAATAACTTTTCAAAAAAAAAGCCAAGTTTCTTCACATGGAAACTTATTCACGACATTCCAACAGCTCTATTCGGATAAAGCAGATGCTCTTTACCATTCTCCATGCAACTGACGTGTGCTGATGAGTTTCTTTGCTGAAAATGGCTCTTGGCAGTGCTTGCACATGGCCCCACCTGCACCTCACCACTGACTTGTACCGCTTTGCAGGCTTGTAACTCGGCTTGTAGTCAATGAGTGAGCCCGCATTTAGGCTTATTCGAAAGAAAGAGACTTTCTCTACACGATGATATGCAAAGAGATGGGTATAAGAAACAGCGGAGATTTGGCGGATGGGGTGGAAAAACGCGGCCTCAGTGGTAGGGTGAGGATATCCAGCTAAAGTTGAATAGAGCTTCTTTCGCTACCAGTTCAATCCTGGAAGATTGAAACTGTCAATGTTCTTGTAATAGATCCATTTTGAAGCTCCAGAACGGGAGACGGTCTTTTCGCACGGGTGGTGCCTAGCGCTACCCTGATTTTGACTTGTCTCAACACGTCACACACGCCGCAAATCTTCCTTCCCCTAGCTTTGCTTAGGCAAAAGCCGCCGCAGTGTGTGTCGCACTCGACGGCGGTCCTGCGCGGAAGGAATTATGGTCGTGCGAAAAGCCCTACACCCCTCTAGAACTGTTTTCGTGTTGATAAGAGCCTTCACTCCAACCACCACTGAGGCGTTTTTCCACCCCATCCGCCAAATCTCCGCTTTTTCTTATACCCAACTCTTTTGCATACCATCGTGTAGAGGAAGTCTCTTTCTTTCGAATAAGCCCAAATGCAGGCTCACACATTGACTACAAGCCGAGTTACAAGCCTGCAAATCGGTACAAGTCAGTGGTGAGGTGCAGGTGGAGTCATGTGCAAGCACTGCCAAGAGCCATTTTCAAAAGCATTAGCAAAGAAACTCATCAGCACAAGTCAGATGCATGGAGAATGGTAAAGAGCATCTGCTTTATCCGAATAGAGTTGTTGGAATGTCGTGAATAGGTTTCCATGTGAAGAAACTCGGCTTAAAAAGGAGAATTAGAAGTTATTTTTGAAAAAAAAGCAAAATAAAACTCAAGCTTGTGTTTTTTGGGAAGCAACCATAACCAGTGTGTAGTTCTTGACAAGCTCTGTATAGTAGTATGTTTACCCGTTTAAATTACTTGTGTTTCAGCTTCAGAATAGGACTCAAAAAAATTTTTGCGTTCGAAGAGTTATTGTCCGCGACATTGTGACGCGGGCATTTTCGGACTTTTTTTAGAAAAAGTTTTTTAAAATTTTTAGAATACATATTTTTCGAAAAACGCAAAGTGTAGATTGTAGATCTTGAAGAGCTCTATCACTTCATGCAATCATTATATTTTTTTATCCTTGTTTTCCTTCTGAAAAAGAGCGATGAAAAAGGGAGGGAGGCTTGTCCGCAACTTTTTGGCGGTCACTGTATGTCCTTCGTGATCGTCCCATGGAAAATTTCATTTGCATTCACAAATTCATCGGATAATGATGAAAATTACGAACAACATGGACTACTGAGTGAACGTTAAAGACCTTTGCACGAAAATTAGTGACTTTGAACAGAGAACTTGATAGCAAGATTTACTTATTCCATGTACTAAACCAATAATTGACGCATTATCCCTCGATTAAAATTAGGCTTTCCAGTGAAAGCTTCAGAAATTATTGTCTATGCAACAATCACTTTTGGCAGGATCTCAGTTGAAATGTAGATTTTACGAATAATTTTTCGCTATATCTGTGATCGATCATCCCTGACGTTATGTTCGTGGCGCCCACACCTTGACTCAGCGCTTGCGTACGTGCGCTGTAGCAGCGCCCGCTAAGTTTGCTGCATTTATCCGTAGGGTAATGCTGCGCTGCTTCCTCCTATCTAATCCTCCTACCCATCGGACAGTGGCGGACCGAGCCTCCCCCCCCCCCCCCCGAGTATGGGTCGCGAAATTTTTGAAACTTACCTCATGGGTTATAAATATGTTCAAATGACTTGTTTATTTTTGTAAATAATTAAAATAATTTTTAAAAAATTCTAAAAATTCCAATTAACCTTATAAAAGAGTTTTTTTGGGGCCCCTTTTTCCAGATTTTAAGGGTTGGGGACCCGCAAAAATTTTTGGAAGCACCCCTAAAAATTTTCGAAGCGCGTGGCTAATGCCACGCACCTTCATTTGAAAAAAAAATCCCCCCCCCCGGTCCGAAATTCTGGGACCGCCACTGCCATCGGATGATCACCAATTTTTTACAGAAAGTCCTACAGCGCTACTGTCTGGTACTCGGGCTTCGCTTAGCACTCACTCACCTCCCAGGGTGAACCTCTGCTTTTATGTGGGCTTTGCAATCTTTCAAAAAATTGTCTAAGGCTAATGTTCGAGCTCGACTACTTCGAATTAGCTTATATAGTATGTATACATTACACGTTCTCGCTAAGCTAGTATCAAAATTCCGCCTTGAACTCTGCAACAAACCACTTAATTGATGGCCGCAGTTAGCCTGTCCTATCTGTTTCGCTGTGCGATGTTTAAACGTTTTTTCAGAGACCCATTTCTTCACTCCTATTGTAAAAAGCAATACCATACACGCATTCCAGCTATTCAAAAAGCTGCTCAAAATAACAGCCACTTTCAAGCACTCAATCTTTGATAGTAAAATGTCTTGAGGTGTCACAGTCATTATCAAACTTATCTTCACCTATTATCATACATTGGCAGAAGACTGCTACAGTTCTTCTAGCCTTGATATTTTTCAGTTTTAAAGTTTTGTCTTACCTGGATGAGTGGCAGGAAAAATGCCGTGGTGCGCGGGTAAATGAAGCATGTAGGCAGGCTGAAAAACATGACTTGCAAAATCAAATTTAATCGCGCTTAAGAAAATTACAGAAGATTTTTCTTTTACCTTTGTGCAATTTGCATTGTTCGGTGCAGTAGGCAAGGATAGCCTAAAATAAAGACTAAGACAGTAAAGGTTAACAGGTAAAGAAGCACATCCTTTGACCCCCCCCCCCGCCCCCAGAATGTTCTATACCAAAGGCACTAGCATGTCATAAGTTTCATTGCTGCCGATAATTTGCGAAGTCTTCTAGATTGGACTAACAAGGAAAGCATGTTGGTCGAAGTGGCCTTTTGAATGGGATTTGCATCATATTGAAGGGCATAAACCGCTGATTCCAAACCCGGCTTCCTTATTTGCTGAAGTTCATGCATAAGGAGCTATGAGCGCTTATTGGAGCAAAAGGTTGATTGTGCAAATAAGACAAAAATAACAATAAGTAATAATAAAATAACAAAAATAAAATAAAATAACACTTTTCTAGCTCTTCGGTAGTTGAAATTGTAGCAGTAGTAGTTATCAGAACACCATATTTAATAAACACTCAAAGATGAAAATACATCATACTTGATTGTGTAATTTCGGGACTAGCAAAATTTAAGCATCTTCTTTTATCTTAATGCACGTTCAATTTTTGTTACAATAAACGCCCATAACTTCTCGTCCATAATCGCTCCGCAGATGAGAAGAAGCAAGTTGGAATAAGCCTTCAAGCCCTTTAACCCTTTAGCCCTTTAGTATACATAGCATTTGAAAAGGCCTCTTCGACTAAACAAGCTTTTTTTATAAATCGGGCAACCTCAGTCGTAGCGCCATCTCAAAGTGCTCTGGTGTGTCTAAATCAAAATTAGCACTTCATGTTACAAGGCATTTCACAGGTTGATATATACATGTTGTTATCGAAGTTTACTATTGGTGCTGAACACATATGGCAAACACGCAGACTGCTTCTTGGTTAATTTCGCCCTAATTATGTTCAAAGCATGAGGTTGTCAACTCTGATAACATAAAGCTCCAAATTATTCATAAAGCGTATTTGTGTGGTATCCCGCTAACAAAGATCAACAAGCAAACAGTAAAAACAGTGAAAATTAGGGAGTCTACGTTTTTTATCTGCACAACTTTGCCATTCCCTTTTGGCAATTTCACTATGAAGTAACTCTTTAAAGGAGGCAAACAGACAGAGTCTGGCTAGAAAAATCGCGCGATGGTAAACATAATGTTTGAAATTCTTCGGTCATAAGAATAATCCTCCCACCGAAGCATTGTTGGTGCAAGCTAAAACCAATAAGTTTTTGAAACCCATGATTTTTCCGAATTTTCACGAAGCCTTCTTCGACAATTACCTGTTCTTCCTTGTCCTTCAATTCACCAAACTTATCCCTCCACCCTCCACTTCGCCTCCCTTTCTCTCGCTACTGTCTCCACCTGAGGGAATTATAAAATGCGCCTGAGCACAAAAACCCAAAAAAAGAAAGGAAAGAGAAGTGAAGCATGCCATTGAACATTTGCTAAGAATGAAACACTAGCGCATTAATCCGGTCGCGCTTGGCATCGGAGCAGTTTGCGCCGCGAATGGAAATCTACCAATTGTTGAAGAAAAAGCTTGAAGGAAGCGCTATCAAACCGTCTTTTCTGTTGAATACTTCAGAGTGAAGATACATGTAATGTCAGAAAAATGCCAAACAAACAACAAAAACATGTAAGCAAAGAATCGATCCTTGCCAGCTAACATGGTTGGAAAGATTCTGGCTAATTCGGAAAAAAGCTTTACATGGCCCGTGTATGTTAAGGTTTCTTTTTCATTTATCCATTTACCATGAGTTGAAGATTTTGACGATTTTCAAGCGAGAATCAAAGAAATCCAAACAAAAACATTGTTGCTGGAAAAGGAAAAAATTCTGCTTAGAACACATCCAAGAGTGTTTAGCTATCTTTATTCTGAATGATTTGAGGATAGGCCTAAAACGGCACGAACTTTCGGACCCATCTAATAAATTATAGTATGGTAAAATGGGCATTTGGAAAAACATCAGGTTGGTGCAGTAGCTCTGTCGCACCATTTTTGAAAAATCATAACTTCTTGTTCACTCGACGATTTGCACAAATTCACTTTACTTAAACAGAAATCATAATTTGTGACAGCAGCTTTGCTGCTTTTCAACAAGGTGTGACTTTTGTAAATAGATGAAGGAGAATGAAACCACTTAGTTTCTTCCATTTTGTATTAGGCTGCTAAAAATTTTGACTTGCGATAAGATTCGGAGCGAGCAGTAGAGTTACTTCTTTGATATACTCTTCTCAAATGCGCAGATTTTTGTTGAATGTGCACATCTGTGTACAGTTACGACTTTGGTGAGCAATACAAAACAGCGGCTTGAATTATATTTCTTTACAGAGACACGCTTGAATACAAATTCCTGTTGGACGTGTTAAAAGGGTGCTAAAATACTTACCCTCGATATCATCCCATATGTCTTCCGCCGCCTCGCCTCGGGCTCGCGCCACGTTGCGTGCGCATCATTTGGCGCGACTTGGCGCTCAACACAACGTGGCGCAGGCTTTTCCACGTTCTTCTTGTTGCCACATTACTCCGAAAATGCGCACGCAACGTGGCGCAAGCCCGAGGCGAGGCGGCGCCTCATTAAGCCACGTAATCCACGTCATGTTGAGGGAAGACATATGGGATGATATCGAGGGTACATGACGGCTTTTTCCAAATTTTGCCTCAAAATTCAGGTTTTTAGCAGCCTAATTTGAGATAACTGAAGTTGAAATAATTGTATTATTTCGCTGTCATCTAAACTCTTATTGGGAAGCAAAGCTATCATCGCAAAAATATGATTTCCTCTGAGTATAATCAAGTTTGTGCAGATCCGGAGTGAGCAAGAAGTTATGCATTTCAAGAACGGTGCGATAAAATTTTGATAGCAGAGTAGCTCCTCAGAGCGACTTTAACAAACATGCACTAATCTTGCACTGACCTATAGGCTGTATCAGCCAGCATCGGTGTCGCCCTAGAATGCTTGCGAGGACGCACCGCCGCATGCGACGTGCTTTAACGCGTAGCAGAGTCCGCACGCGTCACATCGCACTGTGCAAGTTGTCGCAAACGCGACGGCGTATGACCGATGCTGGGTGGTACAGCCTATAATATTACCAGTGCGTCACCTCTGCTTCGCAGAGGCCCGCACTGGCTCCACTATCTAGGCCCTACTCATTCTCGCATAATGATGGCATTGGAACTCACCGAGCAATGCCGACTATCACGAACAAAATGTAAACAACTACTCATTCCGAAAGCTTTTTATGTGAAATCGGTGATTTCGCATGGATGAGACTTTTTGCAGGAGAACAAACGCAAATTTTTACAGGTTTTTGATTTTCCCATGGACTTGACAGTTGCAATAAGAACGGCAGTCACCGTGTGCTAGGTCTTTGTGCAAAAATCTCGTTAAATGCTCTGGTAAAACGTTAGCAAATTGACCATTTATGCAACCAATACTTTTTGGCACCGTTTCTCTGAAGTAATACACTTTTGATCACTTTTTTGGGTCTAAGTTAACGGCCTGCACATTTACTTGGCACAAACATCCGCGACTCTGTAAAAAGCGCAATTACGGGCCCAAATTTGCAACCCAAACGCAAAGTGGATCTGTTTGACGCGCAGTTTCTCAGGGATCCACTCAACGAATCTGCTCGTGCTTTTGCATGCTGGACTCTTATGCGGATAGCATGCACTGTGCAAAATTTGAGCCCAGGAGGTTGGCAGGAACACGCTCTACGAATTTCGTAACAGACACACTCACACACACACACACAGACACACAAAGTCACGTAAACATCCTTAGCCCGTTGTTATAAGTAATGATTGAGCACCCATACCCAAGGATTGTAATTCCAATCGATTTACAGAAATAAAACCATTAACCACTTTGGAATAGTAATGGATTTTCGACGTGTCGAATTTCAGTTGCTCATCAAAGCGTAACGCTAACCTTGCAAAAGTCGTGTTCAATCCACTACGGCAAGTGATATCGCTGTAAACACTGTCACGACAATCTGTTCTCCATCTAACAGATGTATCCATGTACCATAAAGCGCCGAACTCCTTTAGCATCATCTTAACTAGAACTTACAAGGGAATGGTCAAAAGTCGATGTGGCCAATCCAAACAAGCTGCATACCTTTCGATGCAACTTAAAAGGCTGATTTCAAGTCTGTCTTCCATATCTGCAGAGCACCTTTGTAGGCGAAGTTATGAGCAGCTTTACTGCGAAAAAAAACGTAGGCAAAAATTGCGAAATCAGGCATATCTGCCCTTTCAGCTCACCTTTAGGTACGCTTCATATGAAGCGACCTAGCTGCATGTCTTGGTCTAGCACTGAGTCTGGAATAACTTTGTACGGCCAAGTCTGCCCTTTACACACACAATTTCTTAGCAAAATAATGGCCTTTAACGGCTTATAATTCCATCCGCAAAAGTAATCTGCAGATAAGGGAGAAAGATCTGGAGTCAGCGTTTTATGCTGCATTTAATGGTATACAGCTTGATTGAATTGGCCACTTCGATTTCTGATCATTCCCTTTTTAGTGAAGACTGAGGCTGAGCGTATGAGATAACGTCAAGAGCAATCTTTAAACCGTTGTAATGCTACTAACTGCTATGATAAGAGGTTTCCATCTAAACTGCTTTAATTGCCGTACGTAAGGGGGATATGTTTCGAATGGAAAACGCCGCACTTCAACCAAACACTTCTCCTAAAATGCGAGATTTACATGTATTCCTCAAAAGTCCATCTCCAAAGTCTTACTTGAAGTTTCCTTTTTGTCTTAGGATTGAGACCCAAATCGTAGATGATAATCCTCTGACGTGGCCAAAGACTGCGGATGTTTGCGATCTGTAATAAAAAAATTTATGCAGACTTTATTACGAGCTTCCACTGTTATAATCAACATTCCACTTTGAAACAACAGCTAGGTTATGTGTAACAAGAAAGATTCTTCACATTATCAAGTATCTTTTTTCTCAGCTTATTTACGAAGAGCTATTTATAAAGTGTGGAATCCCTTGAGGTCTATCAGTCGGAATATACGATCTATCTTTGAATACCAAATTATGCTCCTAAGAATTATTTCTGCCAACATACACTGCAAAAGATTAGTTAGGAGTTATCCCTGTTTGGTACTTAGTCGTTGCAAAAGTTTTGTCGCTTTCTTAAAATGACCCGTAAATCCCGTAGAGTAAAGATAGGCAACATCCAGCTGTATCTGATATAGCATCTCTTCAACTTTCCAGCTGATCTAAACCTCCGTGTGATTCCTTGAGAGAACGCTGAGGTATTTGCTAGATATTACGCCCCTTCGTTTTTACCATGTCCAATTTCCGCAAACTTTCAAAATTTCTATCAGAGACACTTGAGAGGGGAGGGCTTTGAAAGCCAGCATATAGGCAAACTTTTTAAACTAAAGCGGCTCTTTGTGACTTTGTAGGTTGTCTTTCAGAATTTTCAGAATTCAATTTTCAAAGTAACCACGTTTTATATACGGCCTATTCTAAGCTTTTAGAACGTGAAATGGTAAACATTCTAGGTACCAGTGTACTTTTTCCCCTTTTTTCAAAGCTTTTTCTTGGCAGGGCACGCGCAATTGCAAAAAAAGAGAAGTAGTTTTCAGTTTCATTGCGCAATAACGGGCCTAAGTTTGAAAATCTTCATATTTCAAAGCGAAAATTGTCCATTTAGTTCATAAGGTTAGTGTTAATAATCGAATGTTGAAGCCTCAGCATTCTGAAGATCATGCTTTTGGTGCAAACAGGTTATGCGATTTTTCAAAACATAATATTTTCAAAAGATTTACTGACAAAATTCTAGAAGAAAGCTGAGAAAAGAAAAACGCTTCCGTTGGCAAAATGCTCTATCTTCATAAAAGCTTCCCCGAAAGCCTCTAATAAGAATTTTGAAAAGTCGTTAAATTTGGACATTGTGAAAACGAAGGGTTGCATTCTCCAACAATTATCTCAGCACGTTTCAAACAACCACATTTGAAATATGGTAGCTGGAAAGTTAAGGGCATTTTACATCGACTGCAGCTTTTGTTTGTCTATCTTTTTCCATCGTATTTGCCAGTGGATTCAACCACAAAATTTGCACCGGCCTATTATGAGTAACACACTACCAGTCTAATTTTGTAATTAATCGAAGCGAGTTGTCGTGATGATAGAGCTAACAGAATAACACTCACATCCAATGCAGGAGCTAACAACATGCATCGTAAGCTGTCTGTTAGAAAGTGTTGAAAATAAAAACTGAAAGGATTTGTTAAGGCTAAGATAGGCTGTTGCCTCTTTTTCGTTCTGCCCATCAGTTCTTTCTACATGTATTGCAGAAATGTTAATTTAAAAATATCTTCTAAGCTTTCGCATTCTGACAATCCGCGCAGCTTATACTCATACAGGGACTACTCGTTATATGCAAAAAACAACGAAAAAAAGCAATAAGCGCCTCTAAACGACACTCATAATGTCGCATTCAGTGTAATATTCTCAGATATCAGCCGAATTGAACAAAAACGACGAAAAGACTGGCGAAACTTCTGCTAGTCTCTGAGTCTTAAATGTAGAGGAAAGCTGAAATATATTTGTGCGTAGAAGCTATTATCTCTTTCTAGAACTGATAGGCGATTTCTCCAGCACACAGGATATGTTAAGCAACACTGTAATAGAGAGTAAGTTAAGCTGCGATTGTGGCTTTACAGACACAGCATTCGCTAGTGTGCTCAGTAATGATTGGTAACCTAGTCAGCAGTGATTGCTACTTTGCATTCGTGAAGTTGAAATGGAAAAAAAATTTTAGCGAAGCAATTCGAACAATTCGAGTTTCAGTCCGCTTCACTTCGCTGTCTCCGAACACTGAAAATAAATGTATTTTCGAATACCAGTCAAAGGCAGTGACTTGGCAAATCCTCGACTCAAACATACGCTAACCTGAAGTCGCCCAATGCGCTGATTTCGAAAACCCGCCTCGGAGCGGGCAAAAATGGCGACGAAGTTCTTTAAGGCCATTCATTTCAGATTTGCGAGTGGAACAGTTCCAACCAAGGTTGGAGACGCAGGGTCGTTACTGAACATTTTTGACAATAGCAATGCAGCATGCGATTTCAAACGTGGAAAGCAAAATCTTGATCTCTATCGAGCGCGCACAAAACTGAAACAAATTTCCTTTGCCAGCAAGGGCATGCTGTGCAACATGAATTGCGTCAAAATTCCAGAATGTTCATGCCGAGCCACTGCCTTACTTCCTAGGCAGCGAAGTCGTAGCAAATCAAGATGATTTAGAACCAGTGCTTGTAATTCATAGCAGTATATGATACTCGTAAGGGGTCCATATGGGAACAAGCAACAACCACTGCAATGATTTTTTTTCAACAATGCTGACTTCGCTGCTATGACTTCTCACTATCCTACAGTATAAATCTTATATATAAAGCTGAATGTCTGTTTGCCTGTATGTATGTATGCACGTATGTTCCGAATAGAAAATTTTATTTCCTAACCGATCCGGACCAAACTTGGCACACTACATTTCGGGCCCCGGCGGGTGTCACAGGCTACTTTTCGTCATCGATCGATATCGATTTTATCGATTTTTATCGATTTTTTTGCTGAGTTCACCTACGGGGCTGGGAGTTGGCACAGGAGGGTAATCGAGCATGGGGATTCCGAATACAATATTGGTTTTCAGGATTATCGATTACTTTTATCGATTTTATCGATTTTTTGCAAAGTTTGAGCTACGGGGCTGGGAGTTCGCGCAGGGGGGGGGGTAATCGAGCATGGGGATTCCGAATACAATATTGGTTTGCGGGATTATCGACTACTTTTATCGATTTTATCGATTTTTTTGCAAAGTTTGAACTAGGGGGCTGAGAGTTGGCACAGGGGGGTAATCGAGCATGCTCGATTACCCCCCCCCCCTGTGCAAACTCCCAGCCCCGCAGGTCAAACTTTACAAAAAAATCGATAAAATCGATAAAAGTAATGGACGATCTTGAAAACTAATATTGTATTCGTAATCTGCATGCTCGATTACCCCCCTTTGCAAAATCCAGCCTCGCATGTCAAAATTTACAAAAAATCGATAAAATCAATAAAAGTAATCGATAATTCTGAAAACTAATATTGTATTCGGAATCCCCATGCTCACTTCCCCCCCCCTGTGCCAACTCCTAGCCCTGTAGGTGAACTCTGCAAAAAAATCGATAAAAATCGGTAAAATCGACATCGATCGATGACGAAAAGTAGCCTATGACACCCGCCGGGGCCCGAAGTGTATGTGTGCCAAGTTTGGTCCGGATACGGCGGAGCCGGGTAAGCCAGCTAGTATAATATAAGAGCGTTTGCGAGATATGGCCTTGTTTTCGCGCTTATTCTCTTCAACTATTCTGTGCACTCAGTGAAAAGGGTCGGGGCTGGTGGAGTCTTGGAGCAATTTTTCAGGACTTAGCGCATGAATTGGCTGATGGAGTTTGGACTACAGTGTATTTGAGGGGGGAGGATCTACTACTTAAATCCACCAAAATCCGAAATGGTCCATACTGCTAATCCACTGCCCTCAAAGGCAGTGCCCCATCAGGCTGGGGGTATCTGGCTCTCGTAGTAATGTAATAGTAGACCCCCTGCCTAAGCGATGATTAAAGTGCGGAGCGAAAAAGGGGGTCTACCAATCCTGAAATTTGCTCCAAAAGTGGCCCGAATCTTACGGTAGGCTCGCACGAGTACGAGATGGATGCAAGGTGGAGTGTTGCGGAACCCTGCGCTCATGACTGTGTGCGCTATACCACTCTGGCCTTGCAAACTGATATTGCTTGTGGGCGGCGTCCGGGCCTACCGTATGATCCGGGCAGGGCCCGGCGAGGGTGGCGCTTTCACAAGCTGGATATCGTTTTTGCCCGAAAAAGCAAAGGGGAAGTCATATTTTAGAGTCCCCAAAATACGACTTCCCCTTTGTTTACCGATAAACAATGCAGATATCATTCTTTATTTATCATCCCTTGTTGATGCTACTGTCCTATGAACTTAGATTCCAGCAATGTGAAGGTTCTGTGCTCCGATCGCTAGCCTGCCCGCAGGCGGGAATTCAAATCGCAATTCTTGTAAGAGGAAAATAACAAAATAGGCTCGTTTTCAATGCACAAGTAACGATATGGCACCAAATTTGCTGCGTGGTTGGAGGACCATGAGCACAAAAAAAAGTATGAAGAATTATGAGAATCTTATGTGAATTTAGAAAATGGTAAGTGTTTTTCGAAATTGGGTGGCTCCTGCGCCACCTGGGAGCCACCTGGGGTGCTCCCTGCTTCCTTTCGCATAATTTCCCGGATTTCTTTACATAAATGTGGACTAGGCCGAGAGTATTACTATATGTTCAAATTCGCTTCTAAAAACACCAAGGCACCGCTTCGATACAGCCCCAAATAGGGTTTACAGCGTTATGATCGTGTCGCGGATTCGAAACTTCCTTCAAAGGTCGCCGCCGCCGCCTCGCGAAGGGTCCCAAAACGCCGTCCTCGCGCTGTCCCGCCTCTCACCTCTCTTACCTTCGCAGCTTTCGCTTAAGTCACGTAGTCAGTCTTCGCAGCTGCCGTCACAGTGAGCGGTCGGGTTCTAATCGTCTCTTGCCATCGATCGATCAGCGCTACCCCATCTCACGCGTCAAGTCTATTAACGCCACGGAGGACTGGCTCCCGCGCAGCGAGGTAACCCCGAGCGCGATCGCGCCCGGCACACGCCGGCGACACCGCCTCGGGGATTTCCGATATTGCCGGCCCCTAGGTCTTAACATCTGGTCGGTTGTGCACATCCTGTATGTTTGAGTTTAGGGATTATATGCGGATAAATGGTGGGCATTGTACAGGTGTGATATGTGTATTGGTGCGGTGGCCACAGCACGACTGTGGCTCCGGGATATTACCTCATTATGTCGCGTGTATATTTTATAACCATGCCCAGTGGGAAACATCAGTGAGAGGGCTGGCATGATGCTAGCTGAGTGCCAGGGTTATAAGTGCACGCCCCAACCGTCGGTAGTCTTGAGGACGGTCAAGCCGCAGGTGTCAACAACTGCCAAGTAGGCTGGTGGCAAGGGCCACTACGCGTGTAGGGAGTACCCTTGTGGCAGGCTCCAATGAGCATTACACAGGTAGCCACCTCACGGGATACGCTCACTTACTCACGGTGCGGACCCCCGGCTCCCCTCGCCGATGCAGGAGAGCAATTGTACACGTTGGGAGCTAAGGGCCCAATCCGCGACAGATCGGCCTCGGAAAGCGCGCTCCAATCGCAATCGGTTATTGTAAATTGTAGTATTGTAGATATATAAACGTCAAAGTTTGTGCAAATCTTGACCCTATGTTTTTTATATATTCCTTTGCGGATGAACCCATTGAGCTGAAACCTTGATGACCCGGGCTGGACCAGGAAAGCCAGGTAGTACTACTATAATAAGCGCTGAGGCCGCCCATCTTATTATTTGTGTATATCTGTTTGTCAGGGACCGGGGGTCAAAAATAGGGTCAAGTAAGAAGTTTTGGCTTTCAAAGGAGATATCGTTTTCAAAAATCTGAAATGCCACCTCCTGCCGGGCCCTTGATCCGGACCACTTTCGAAGCAAATTTCAGGTCTGGTAAACCCCCTTTTTCGCTCCGAACTTCAGTCATCGCTTAGGTAGGGGGTCTAATATTACATTATAATGAGACCCAGATACCCTCAGTCTGGTGGGAACTGCCTTTAAGGTCACGACGCAGGCGTGGAGGGGTTGGGGACGGATTTCCCAGCCGTGAATGAATCTTTTGCGCTGCCGCTTGGACAGTGCCTTGCTTAGGACCCTCTCAACAATTTCCACGCGAAATACGCATATGCCCAAATTTGCGTGGACACTGCCTTTAAGGAACGGATTTTTGCCAAGTCATCGCCTCGGTATTTTGTATTTTGTTTCCCACTCGTTTGGGAGAAGAGCACAGCAAGAAACAAAATAACACTTTTTTTGCAACAGGGTAATCCTAATAGTCATCTATGCGGGAAAATCACAACTGATCCAATTTCTCCAAAAGCTATTTGTGTTTTTGCTCTAATTTTCAATCCCTGGAGAACAAAATATTGAAGTCATATCTTCTTCAAGTAGCTATATCTATACCATGTTAAGCCCTTCCATAAAGTGGTTTTCGGACATAGCACTCACGAACATCGGCGTGGGCATCTTTTCTGTCATCAAATCAATGACTTTCGCTTTCGATAACAATCCTAAATTTATATCTGTATCTTCATAAAGGAGAATGAGATGTCCGCACACATACCAAGCTTTTCAAGATGTGAAGAGGAATTACAGTTGAAGCGTCTTCCTTTAATGGTCCAGTTTTTGGGTAAATGGTAGCAGAAACCGTATGTGACGTTTTTGTGCGTGCAGGAGCAGCCATCATTTGCAAGAAAATAAATTGTTTGCGACTGCTGCAACTCCAGTTGAATAAAAATCACTTATAGCAGTCAACGTACTTCCGCAACAAGTGCTGCTGGCGAGGAGGTAGTCAGGACGTATAACAGGAAGAAAACTGCACAGGCTGTCAGTACTTGTACTTTTCTGGAAAAAACCTGGAAAATCTCAAAAATGTGTTAAGCAGAGCTGTGGAAAAAATTGATACAAACCCATTCTCGTTCAATTATCTCGGTTTCAGATGTAGCAACACGCATCGCCGTGTTGTTGTATAGATCTAGGAGCTATTCAATGACATACCTGTACGGTAGAAGCACAGGAAATTGATGAATAAAATAAATTTCCAAAACTATAGCAAAATTGCGAATAGTTTTGCTTTTTCGAAAAATCAGAATAAACTTGATATATACCAATCTATGCTTCACCACAAACATAAGTCATCATGTGCTGCTTAGTACAGATAAGTTAATATTGCTTTCTGCAATGAATTCGACATTATGCAGGGTGCCTCAAAAAATGAGTACATTGTTTGACCATTGGGTAATGTTTGACCATTGGTAACTATCTTGCTATATTTTTTTTCGTTGATTTTAGGTACCATTCTCTAGAGCTGGCTTCAACTTAGATTCATAGTATGGAGTGAATAATTGGTGGGTGTTCGTTACTGTAGCATTACGGTAGTAAATTTCAGCATACTGTAAAACAGGCAATCAAAATTTATCTCAAAAGATTTGGAAAATTGTGTAGCAAGGTTTATATTAGGTTGGTGCAAAAGTTTGTTCGCACTATTTTCAAAAATTCATAACTCCTTAAATTCTCAACGAATTTGTACGCTCAAAAATTTGCTTAAGAGAGAAACTCATGCTCTTTGCAACTGTACTTGTTTGTTAATGCGTACAAATAGATAGGAGCTCAAAACCAAAATCATTCAAAATTTGAATTTTTCGTGTAGGGTCATAAAAAATCGGAAACTTGCGATAAAAATCGGGGCAGTCAGTATTGTAGGCTCTTTCACAAGCTCTTTCTGACTGTGCAAAGTTTGTGCCGATTGAGTCTCTATGAAAAGTTATGATTTTCGAGCAAGCAATAAAAAGGGCGAATTTGATTTATTTTAGCATTTTTCAGGGAATTCATAACTTTTCATAGAGACTCAATCGGCACAAACTTTGCACAGTCAGAAAGAGCTTGTAAAAGAGCCTACAATACTGACTGTCCCGATTTTTATCGCAAGTTTCCGATTTTTTATGACCCTACACGAAAAATTCAAATTTTGAATGATTTTGGTTTTGAGCTCCTATCTCCTTCATTTGTACGCATTAACAAACAAGTACAGTTGCAAAGAGCATGAGTTCCTCTCTTAAGCGAAATTTTGAGCGCACAAATTCGTTGAGAATTTAAGGAGTTATGAATTTTTGAAAATGGTGCGAACGAACTTTTGCACCAACCTAATACAGACTTCACTACACAACTTCAAATTTTCGAACCTTTCTTGTGGTGTAACCGCAGTTTCGACGAAAACTAGTAATACAGTTGCCATGGTTTACAAACAACTTATGAAAAAGCATTTAAGTGGAGTGCGAACCACCAACGAGTTCAATTAGCCTGGTATAAAATTTTGGTTTGTTGGTTTTTTTTCTTAAGCAATATATGACTTTCACTGACCTAAAATCCTCGAAGTTTCTACCGTAATCCTACGGTAGTGAAAAGAGAACAGTGACTCGCTCCATATCGCAAATTGGAAAATGAAGCCAGCTCTACGGAATAGCTAGAGTTCGCCAATAGGCATTAAAAAAAGTTATCAATGAACAAACAGTGTACACATTTTGAACACCCTAGACTATATGATCTGAGCGTTTCCAAGATTGTTAGTGTCTTCCTTTTTTATCAGTACAGCCTACAGCCAATAATCAACACAGTCTAATAGGCTGAACGAGAATGCGAAGGTCACGAATATTTACGCTTTTAAGTGCGCATCGCAAGCTGTGCCACCAGGATACAGAGTTTAAGATCAACGTTGCTATTCTTTCATAATAATAAATGAACATTGCTGCGCGAGAAACCACGGAGGTTTGCTGCTTGCATTCAGTTATCCTAAGATGAACAGGAAAGAAGAAAGAGGGAGGAGCTAAACAATGAACTCGCCACTTTCCTGCAAATATGTGGAGAGCTTGACCAAAAAGAAAAGTTCATTTTATCACACGAGAGAGTGCTAGTATGACACACATTAGGTTCAGGGTGGTGGAAAGACATTAGACTATGTCGTCAAAGGTATGTCTACTCTTAAAACGATGAAATGCACGCATCTGCGGACAACTTTCCAGGTGGAAGGCGATCAAGCCGAAAAGTAGACTTATTTGATTATTGGTTTTACTGTTAATGAAGAAAGAATTAACAATCTTGAGAGAGCTCAGCATCATATAATAATCGACAGAATTTGCCAAGATTTAGAGATAAACGAGCATAAATTTTGCTTTGATTCCTCGACAGCGTTAGTTTGTTATCAATGCTCGGCACAGGTGGTAAGCAAGCAGGATACGTTTTTGGGACAAAAAAGCAAAGGGAGTATCGTTTTTGAGGCCGAAAAGACAAGAAAATTGTAAAGTGTCGAGCCTTCTTTGTAAGTATTGGATGTCGACAACTTACACAAGCTCGCGAACTTGCAATAAATCTGCAGAAGAATGTAAGCAAGATACTCTACTACTGAACTAGTCAATACGGTGCCATACATACATACAAAAAAGCACTCAGTCTTAATTAAGCAGATAATCGAGAATAAATTTGGTTTTTATATTATCTAAGTACGCTTCGTAAAAAATTATGGGTCCTTGTTTGCATAAACTTCTTCATTTTATGTCCGCAAAAATATCCAAAAACATTCTTTTTATATATATATTTTTTTCTTTCATAAGCATTTTGTAGCACATGTTCCCCAGCAAACATATTAGGTTGATTCATAATTAATGCACGTTTTTCTCACCTTTTTTTCCAAGAGCTGATATTTGATGTGTAATCAATTTATTTGAAAGCTTCTTATGCTGTCTGAAAAAGCGTTCCTTTTAGTTTCTTATGTAGGTCTTCGCTTTCGTACATCTCCTTTCGTACCGAAGTTCTAAGCCTTCAAATGAAAGAGACCAAATCCGAAAATTTTTGCTTTTCAATCTTTTCGCCCCAAATTCATGAGGAATATCTGGATTAATTTCAGATAATATGCGTAAGAATTAGGAGACTCTGTGCTACAAGATGCTATTTGAACAAAATATTCCATGAATTCTTAGCTGAGAAATTTAATTGCGAACTTGAATGATCGTCGCGGCGCTTCCTTGCCATATAAAATTTCAAAGCAAAAAGCGATTGCAGATCTTTTGCACTATTTAGCAAGAGTAGCCCTAGTTCATTTGATGATAGAAAAGTGCTAGGGTTTTATCACTTTCCAGCGGAGAAAAATGAAATAATTTCAAAAATGACCGATTTTTGAACCCGCCGAGATATTAGAAAAAAATAAGTACTTTCAACTATCCCGCGATATTTTCTTTGAAAAATTTTCTGTAATATTCAAGCTTGGCACCACTGCTCAAAATACTTTTAACTATACGAAGAGTGAAGTCTGCTTTATCCTACTTCATTTCAAAATAAGTTATGCTCGCTCAAAGAAGAGACTTCCGTAAAAAATTGTTGGCAATCTTTAGGCCAGAAGACCTTTCTTATGATAGATTTAGTTACGCAAAAGTATCTGTTGTATAGCCATTTAATTGGTGGATACATCAGTTTTTATCGCGCCCAGGAATCTCCTCTCAAAAAAGAGTTGTCTTAGTTCAAAGCTGAAGTATAGAAAACGTGCATTAATTATGAATCAACCTAATATTTGAATTTTAGAAGAAACTTTTTCCTGAGTGTGGAAAAGAAAATAGAGTGAAAAGGACAATTCTCACACAGCTGCACTTCAAAGTACGGAACCATAAAATGAACAAAGCTCTATGAAAGAGAGTGTGCATTGAAAAATAGAAAATAAGGACTTCGATTTTTTCGAGCTATCATAAAATCGCGTGAGATGAAGATGAGCAAACATTTCAAGAGCTATACGACGCTGTTTCTCTTCGTCTTTCCATGTTTTGCTAGCGATTGCTTTTGTGGTACCAAGATAATTGCAAAAATTTTGAAACCTTGATTTTTACATGCCAAGTTTAGCGATTATTCACAATTGTTCGATGCAGATTTTTTCCCCTTCTGAAAGGCGTTTTTTCTTGCCGACTTGTGGAATTTTTGAAGATAAATCATACAATTATGATTGTATTAATCAACAAATTATGATTTTTGGGTGCGCCTATGGCTTATACAAAATTTCAAAATTACACGTTTCAAGCACTCTCGTTTCACAAAATAAGTGCTAACGATAAACGAGTTTTGAGCTTAAGTATAAAGACTTCTCAGTGTTTTGCGTTCTGAATCGCGCAACTTTGCAAACGAAAAAACTTGAAAAATCTTCTTGAATACTGCAAAGCTAGTGGGAGCTGCCCAAAAAATTCGTTGCATTGCGCTTTGTTTACTCTATCCAACTGTATACATACAGTGACCGCCAAAAAGTTGTGGACAAGCCGCCTTCCTTTTTTCATCTCTCATTTTTGGATGGAAAACAAAGGTGAAAAACTCAATGGATTGCATGAGGTGATAGAGCTCTCCGAGAGCTACAACCCACACACTGCGCTTCTGGAAAACATGTATTCTAAACAAAAATCTTTCCCTACAAAAAGTCCGAAAATAGCCGCGTCATAATGTCGCGGACACTAATTCTTCGAACGCAAAAATTTTCTCTTAGGTCTTTTTTAAAGCAGAAAGAAAAGTTTTCCGGGCAGGTAAGCATACAATATTGTAGAACTCATCGAGGACAATAATCAGGTAGTGGTTACTTCCAAAACCCAAGTTTAAATTTTATTTTGCATCTTTCCAGAAAATAACTTCTAATTCCCTGCTTCAAGCCAAATTTACTCACATGGAAACCTATTCAAGATATTCCAACAAAGCTATTCGGATAAAACGGATGCCCTTTGCCATCTTCTACGCATCGGACGTGTGCTGGTGAGTGTCTTTGCTTAGAATGGCTTTTGACAGTGCGTGCACATGACCCCACCTGCACCTCACCACTGACTTGCACCGCTTTGCAGGGTTGTAACTCGGTAGTCATTCTTTGAGCTTGCAGTTAGGCTCATTCGAAAGAGCGTGACTTCCTCGACATGATGGTATGCAAAAGTTGAGTATGAGA